GTCCCTCCAGAGCAAGCATCACAAACCCTCTTTCTCCCTCAAGCAATGTTGAGACATCACGCGCACGGTTGCGTGGTATGTAGCTTGGACAAAGCGCGCTGTAGATGCCAGAGCAACCTTGCTGTTGGGGAAGAGGGTGGTGTGAGACTCAGAATGCTCATGAGGCTCGTCCGCAGCCAAGTTTCCGGGGCCAGAAAGCGTTTTCACATGTAGTGTGGACAAATCCCTCAACTGTACTTCCTCCTGGCCAAATGGCCAAGTGTGAGTTGTGACAGTGTCCACTGGCAGCCTCAGCAATCTTCCGTCCAGGTTTGTGAGCCCGAAACTGGTGTTGAAAAAGTGAAGAGAAAATGGCTTCAACGCACAGGCACAGGCCCTCAAGTGTATGCTGCAGCTGCCATTGCAAGTCTCACATGTGCTCAAAAGAGCAAGACTGTCACAATGAGAGAGAGAGATCTGGGTCTTGTTTGCAACGGACGCGCAGGGTTGCTTTGAGTCCTGTTGCTTGATACACATGTCCTTTGCGGACTCCTGGGTTGGATCTCCTTGCTGGTGTGTCGCTCTGTCAGCTACACGACGTATGAACAGCTCCGTTTCGTTTCCGATGAGAAGGTGTTGCATCATACCAGAGATTGGCTGCCAGGGCCGCCACATGCTCCAAGAAGGACTTCCAAAGTGAACAGGCCATGGAGCTAACATACACCAAGAAAGCATTGCGCCAACGAAGCATTGCTAGAGCGAAATCTGTTGCTGTAATCGTGACAAAATGAGCTACATGTGGATGTGTGGAAATTTCTCTGTGACTACCTGGACCATCACTTTCCCGCACCAGTGCCATTTGAAGGTGCTTTTCGACGAGAAGCGAGCAGTCAAAAGCAAAAGAAGCATAAAGTTTTCATGTTTGGCATCGAGTGTGCAGCCACATATGGACCCATTAGACACTTTGTCCATTCGGTGCTGGAGCCACGAAAACCTTTGTCCGGAAGCTTTACTTCACTGGTCGACCAAGTCCATGAAGGAGTCAATCATCAGTGCACCACACGATAAGCATCCATCGCCAGCTTCCGCACATGGAACCCCTGCGGCATGATTCGGAAATGGCATTGGCTGCTCCATTTGCCAGACACATTCTTCGACTATCTACCATTCTGCTTTGCAGATGTCTGTGAGATGTGCCAGCAAAAGTCGTGCATGCTGCTTTCTTTTCGGCGAACTGGAGACGGCAGTACATGGAGTGTGGCATGAGCACTTTGGCTTGTAAAGCCATGTCGACCAGAAGGAGGTCGGTGGCCACCCTGTGCATGGCTTTGGCTTCCAGCAGTCCCAGGCATGGAGGAGTGTAACCTGGCTGCCGAACACGTCTACATGGAACAGCACTTACCCCACTTCTCATGTCTGCTTGTCCATGGTGTAGACGATCACAGCGTGGCTTGGAGCTGAACACCAGAGGGCAAAGTTACAGAACTGGCCCCATGGGCTTCTGTTGGTGTGTGGCTGAGGAACTGTGTCATGGTCTTCAACTCCTTGGATGTAGCCTTGGGCTTGTTGAAATGGACACCTGGCGGAAATAGATTGTCTTCTTTCAATGCACAGATTTCCTGGGGCAAGATGGACTGCATGAGATGGAGCTCGAAGTCCACGGTCTTCTGCAGGCGTGTGGCTGTTACCCCAGCGTTGAGGGTTGTTTGCCCGAGCCGTTCCACTTTGCTTCCCATCTTGTTGTAATTTGCAATGCCATCGCGTGTTCATTTGGATGAAGGCGCAGACTGCCCGAGTTTTAGTGCTTTTGGGTGCTTTGCATAGTGGAAGCGCTTTAGCCCGAAATCAGCCCCGAGGAGCTTTGCACCAACTTAACATTCAGATCGGTCCTCCGTGACCAATGTCACCTCAGCAATGCCAGAGGTGGTCCGCGCGCTGAACTACAGCTCAGGCACAGCTATGGCCTTCCGGATCGTGGAACACAATTTATGTTGCATGCAATCGGGAGACGGCAATGCACCGTGACTTGGCCAATGCTCTCTCGGAGATTTTACGGGTGGCAAGTTGTAGTTGCAGGGTGATGGTGGTCCGGATGCACGTGCAGTTCCGGACTCTCTCAGAAACCTGTTCCTGGTTTCGTAATCTCCACACATTCTAAGCCCATCTCATTTGATCCTCGTAGGTGGCATTGCACTTTGCCTTTCGTGGGTGAGCGATGGGCTATCATCTGCTATACCTTGGCAGGTGTGCCGCCGGAGGTGCTCGCAGCCTTTGATTTTCCTTCCACGCCATAGGTTCTGGCCGATCTTCCGGTCGAGGCGCAGTGCTCGCGCAAGCAGGAGGGGTCGCCAAAAGCCGCCCACCACGGCCATTTCTGCACGCTGGAGGTCAGTACTTCCGGGTACCTGCGGGGAGAAGCACGGAGGGTGGCCACCCTAGCTGCATCCTCCCTGCTTCAGTGTGAGGGAAGTTTCCTCCGCTGCAAAGAGGTGGGCCTTGGGCAGTGGTGACTCTGAAAGGTTTCAGGAGGTGTCCAGGACCTCTGTTTGGATCTCAATGACTGGAAATGGGGAGATCGTCCCCAGCTCGGCCACAACCACGACATGAAGAGCTTTTGGGGCGTGATCTTGGAGACGGTGAGCTCAAACGTTTTCAGAAAGTTTGGCTCACCTTTTCACTGAAACTCGTGGAGATGCTCGCGTGGTGCGTACAAAGGCTCCAAGCCATGGGATGTGAGGACAGCCTGCACTGTATGGTGGATCAAGATATTATCGGTGAGGACCCTTCGTCCCGGCTTTGCGGGCTGATCCCTGATGGGCCAGTCGGATCCGATGAGACCTCCTACCTGATGAAGGTCCTTCCAACTGTGGACCTGGATGTCAACTAAAACTGAGCAGGTTTCAGCTGGGAGGTTTACCCTCCAGCTCCGCTGCCACCTCCATGAGGTCTACCCTCAGAGAGGGAACCCCCTGGTGTTACCAGAGTGTGGTCTCACCTCTACTTCTCAAGAGGGAACCCCTTGGATAGTCCAGAGTGAGGTCTCACCTCATAAGTAGCGAGGGAACCCCCCTGGTCCTAGGTATGACCAGGAGTGAAAGGTCCCACCTCGAGGACTGGTAGCTCCAAAAGGTTGCTTCGTGCGTAAAGCCTTTTTTTCTGCCGAGACCTCAGAGTTTACCTGCTCTAGGAAAAAAAGTCCAACCCGAGTTCGAACCCAGGTTCAACCCAGGTTTGAACCTGGGTTCGAACCCGGGTTAAACCCAACCCCGAAACCCTAACCCCAGGGTTGTTGTTTTTTGTTTTTCCTTCCCCCCCCCTTCACCCCCCCCGTGAGGGGCGGGGGGGGCGGAGGGTTGTTCGAACCCAGGCGGACCAGCCTGCGATGCCCCCACCTTGAAGAATTCAGCCAGGCTGCGCGCTGGGAGCATATTGTCGGATGCCGGCAAAAACGGAAAAACACTTGGAACACTTCTTGCAGAGCCTTGCAGATATATGGACCAAACCTGGTTACGCGAGCAAGCCTGTGCGGGATCCGGGCGCAATCCGCGATTGCTGTGTCAGAAGTGATAAGCGATCTTGGGGTTGGAACACATGGTTGAGAGGTTGGGTTTTTGGAAGGGTTGACAGTTTTGTAGCCAGGAAGGCACATCTCATCATCCCCGTATGTATGGGTGTTGGTTAGGGTCATCTCTTGGCACCGGGATTCGTAGCCGTTGGTTTTAGGCGTAGGTTGCACTCAACTCTCGGCGTAAGATTTGATAACACTGTTGAAGTTGAAGACGCCACCAGTTCATAAAACCCTAAGCCCTAAACCTCCAAAAATTCAACGCCTAAACCCCAAAACCCCAAAACCCTAAACCCTGAACCCTAATGATTGTAGGAAGTGAACCTCTTCTGCAGGACAATTGGTTCGCTTAGGTCAGAGATTTCCCGTGCCTCGTATGATGTAAATGCACAGGTCGGTGCAACGCCACCACGCCTTAAATCCTAAACCCTAAACCGCCTTTCTCCGCCTTATTCCCAACGCGCAGATGTAGCCCACATCCCAAGATCCTAAGACCCGAGGAGCCTTGATCTCAAAACAACACAAAAACCGCCTCAAGTGTGGCAGCAGACTCGAATCCGAATCGGCCCAGCATCATCAGATATTTTCAGGTTTTCTAAGCGTCCAAACAACCCTGAGGCAAGTAAACTCCGTAAACGTCAAAAATCCACGCTTTGTTGAGCCCATGGGCAGTGGCGCGAGCCACAAGGCGAGGGATGCTGATTCGGCTGAGTCAAAGCCAGGGCCAGCACAGCATGGCGAGGAGCTCGAAAGCGGCTGCGTCATCCCCGAAGTTGCAGACAGGGCCATCACAGTTCAGCAGCTGCAGGATCTTACAACTTGCATCACGACCAAGCTGAAAGCAGAAGGATGGACAACCACAGATCCGTCAGTCACAAAGCCAGTGAAATTGAAGAAGGGAACTGTGAACCTCTACGATGTCGTGGCCAGATTGGTGAAGCCTGCCACAGAGAAACGACGCTGCTCCTACGTGGAGTTGGTCGCTACAGGGCCTCAGACAACCCGATGGTTTGTGTCTCACTGGTGGGGCGAACCCGTCTTTCATTTTGTGGCCTGCGTGGTGAAGCACAGCGAGCAGAGGCGGCTAGGGTCTGCGTCAACTTACTGGGTCTGTGCATATGCAAACAACCAGTGGGAGTTGGCTTATGACGTCGCAGCGAATCCGGCGGAGTCCTCTTTTCGACGAGCCCTGGATGTTGCCGAAGGAACACTGTCGATATTAGATGATGCAGCCAGGGCCTACGAGAGGGTCTGGTGCGAGTACGAGGTCTTCGTGACTCTTGAGAAGGCAAAAACGACAGCGCACTTGTTTGATATTTACACGTACCACAACCATCAGCCGCGAGGTATCACGGACGGCATTACAGAAGGAGACCGTCGGGGAGCAAGCTGGTGGTGGGAAGACCGGAAGTGGGCCCGAGAGAAGAACTTTCCAGTAGAGCTGGCTGAAGCAGCAATGCAGGCACAGGTGCAGCTGGCAGTAGCGAGCGTGGACGCGGACCGCATCCACATTCTGAACTCCATCGTTGGTGCACGCGACTTAAATTCCAATCCACCACTGGAGCACGAACGGTACGATGTCGTCAACACCACGTTACATGCTCGGTTTGCGCTAGCAGCGCTGAAGCTCATGGTGGAAGCCAGGCGGTCGCTGCACAGATATGTGCAGGTGATTTCCAGCTCACAGGTCACCCGCATCAACTTGTCCTTCAGGCCGCTTTCGGCACGACCGCATCAGCCCTATACTTTGAACAACAACCCCAGATCCTGAACCCTGGCATGCTAATCCTCAATCCTCGGCAAACCCGTGCAGGTCCGACCAAGTCCTGTCAAATGACACGCTGCAGCAGCTAGCCGCAGCGCTTCCGGCGACTTTGAAAGACCTGTGCCTGAATCTGGGCTCTTGTTCATCGAAGCATGTTATTTGCTGCGGGTTTTGTTAAGAACCGCAAAAGCATTGCTGCAGCTCATACGGGACACGGTGGTGCATGGTGCTGCAGTACTGGGTTCTTGCTAAAGAGCTGTCTTGGGAGCCGAGAGCCCAGGAATATGGTGGACTGCACACTCTTGACAGATCAGGGCATCCAGGCCCGAAGCCCGAAACCCTGATGTGCGGAGGTTTCAGACAAAAATCCGGACTTTCTAGGGGTCCTCTTTATGATGAGGATCCCTCCTCCTAAGTTCTACACATAGGGGTCCTTCATGATGGAGGATCTTCGGGGCTCTTATGAGGAGGATCTTCGGGGCTCTTATGAGGAGGATCTTCGGGGCTCTCTATATTAGGAGTCCCCTCTTTGCGTTGATTGTTCGGTGAAGCTCGCATCTGTTGCAAGGCCTTCTCCTGGTTTGGTGGTGGTCTTTGCCCTCAGCTATCACCCCCCCCTAAACCCTAAACCCTAGACCTTAAACCCAAAACCCCTAGACTTGAAACACTAATCCCTAAACTTGAAACCCTAAACCATAAACCTGAAACCCTAAACGTTTTAGGGTTTTTGTTAGGGGCTTTCAGGGCTTGGGGATTTGGGGTTTGGGGTTTGACTCCAGGCCTTGGCCCTTGCTCTGGAGCCGCTTCCGCTGGAGAGCCTGCACCTGGACATTGCGAAGAATGCCCTTTCAGACGAAGCCGTGCAGGTGCAGTTCAGGGTTTAGGGTTTAGGGTTTAGGGTTTAGGGGTCCCAAGCAGGAAGTTAAGGAAAGCAAGGGCCGAACATATTGGAATATGGTCTATCACAGCATAATCTTGTATATTATGCGATACTATAGTGTATGGTAGTGTATTAGAGCTCTTCGAATACATCATAGTTGATTATAGTTCTGGTATGACCGAGAGGCAGTGGCGGCCTCATTCGGGGAATCGTTGCGGCACCTCTGGTTCAGCATAGGCGGGGACGCTCCTGCAGATGTTTTGGGGTTTAGGGGTCTAAGGTTTAGGGTTTAGGGTTTTGGGGTTGAAGGGGTTCAGGGGTTTAGGGGTTTAGGCTTTAAGAGGCATTCCCCCCGTACATTCCCTAGCTGATTCTTGCCAGGACATATTACCGACATCAGCGATGTTTCTGGTGCAAGCCTGGCAACTGCGCTACCTTCACGCCTGGAAAGCATGTTCTTGTCTCTCGCTGGATGCCGAAAGAACCTTAGCTTGTTAGGTGGGCACGTACAAAACCGACCACAGGTGAGGTCCGTGTCATGTCTGCGGTTGCCCGCTGAGGAGCCGAAAGCACAGAAGCACCACAGCATCGGTGACCCCAAGCCCGATCTCAGCAGCATTTTATGGTATGTTCCTTGAGCAACCAAGGATCACTGGCAAGCTGCTTGGCGTGAATGTCCCTTCCACTTTCTCGGAAATTGTATACGTCAGAACCTCGCAAAGCTTATTGTTTCAAGAATGCTCAGTTGTCTTTCATCCTCCGCCCTGCTGGCCCGAAGGACGCTGGAAAGTCTGGGCAGAGCCTTTCCTCCGACGTTGTCGCATGTTGAGCTCATGTTCGGTAGCTGCCACCTACTGGACAATGCTGCGGTAGAAGCCCTGCTGGCTCAACTGCCTGAGGCCACCTCCTGTAGGAGCAAGCCTAAACCCTGAAGCCTACACCCTAAGCCTTAAACCCTAAATTCTGAACCCCGATCTCCACACCTAGATCTGACCTGAGCCCTAAAACCTCCGACCCTGAGCCCGAAGCCTTTGAAGAAGTCGCCTCACCAGTCCGTTTATCGCGAAAACCCTAACCATAGCCCCAGGAATCCGCATAGATCCCTTCTCATAGATCTCTGTTCGGAGCCTCCTACAGTTCTTAGCACTCTTAATAGTAACCCCTCAACGATGAGCAATCCCAAACCCTAAACCAGCAGGGCTTGCTTGATCTCCGGCTGGACTTCTGGGGATGCTCGCAGCTCACGGAGGTGGGGTTGGGGGATTGCAGGGCTTGGGTTTAGGGTTTAGGCTTCAGAGTTTAGGGTTTAGGGTTTTGGTTTCGGGTTTAGGGTTTAGGCTTTTGGGTTCAGGCTTTAGGGTTTAGGGTTTAGGGTTTAGGGACTGTCTGATGGTGTCAAAAGCATCCTACTCTAGCATGCCATACCACATCTTTCCACGCCCTACCTTACCACGCCAGACTAAAGTGTAAAACACTATATACTCTCATAGACTCGAGTATGCACAGCTAAATACCTAATGTACTATGCTACAATAGCATACTTTAGTGAACTGTGTATGTATGTATGTATGCATGTATGTGTGTATGTGTGTATGTACTGATATTTATATTTATGTTTTTAATATATATATATATACATTTGTATTTATATCTGTATTTTTAGTTGTATCTATATTTGTATTTTTTGTATTTGCATTTGTATTTATATCTGTGTATATGTATGTCTAGATGTAAATATAGGTATACACATAAATATTGACGGATAGATAGACAGATAGATAGTCAGACAGATAGATATACAGAAAAACATAGATAGATAGGTAGATAGATAGATACATACATAAATAGATGGATAGATAGACAGATAGATAGATAGATAGATAGACAGACAGATAGATAGATACATAGATAGACAGATAGATAGATAGATTGATAGGTAGACCGATAGACAGATAGATAGATAGATAGATCGATATCCGGATAAGCATAGATGGACGGTGGGCTGGCACAGGCCATGCTGTTGGGCCTGGCCGCGGCGCTGCCCAGTTCGGTCACACGGGTGGAGCTCTACCTCGGGGAGATTCCAAAGATTTCAGGAGATGGTTAGGGCTGGTTAGGGTTTAGGGTTTAGGGGTTTAGGGGTTTAGGGGTTAAGGGTTTAGGGTTTAGGGGTTTAGGGGTTTAGAGTTAGGGTTTAGGGTTTAGGGGTTTAGGGTTTGAGGTATGGGGTGTCCGGTTTCTTTCGGGCTTCCCCAGGAATCTGTAGGGTTTGCTTAATTTTTTCTACAAAGGTTTCTATAAAGGGTTTTGGGGTGAAGCGTTTAATGCCGGGGCCTGAATACTTACCACTAAACCCTAAACCCTAAACCCAAAAGTTAGGACGGCCTTGCCTTCCTACTTAAACCCCTGAACCCCTAAACCCTTAACCCCTAAACCCTAGACCCCTGCAACCCCTAAACCCTAAATCCTGAACCTAATTCCTCCTTGCAGGCCAGCAAGGCCGGAGATTCGCTCAGAGAGAGCTGTTGCCGACCCCAGACGTCCTTCAAACGGCGCTGCGCCCTACAGTGAGCGTGGAGTACTTCGCTTGATATGGTAGACAGTATAGTATCCTTTATAGGAGCCGTTTTAGTATGCCTTGTAGTAACCGATACCCCCTATGGCCTTATAGCAATCCTTATAGTGTCCCTTTCTTCTTATACATGTACGGCAAGGTCTGCAGAACTGCAATCGTGCCGTACATGTAGTTTTTCCTGTGTGGGTTCACCTGTCTCCTGTTCGTTTAATTTTAGGTTTCGGACTTTAAGGTTTGGGGCTCAGGGTGTAAACCTTCGGATTTAGGGTGCTGCCCACGCATTCGGCCGTTGATGGAAGGTGACATGCTCGAATGAGCAGGGATCATCGCCTTCATTTGCACGTGTATTGTGTGTCCGCTGGTCCCAAAATCCGGCGGATGCAGAGCACGGCCAGTGAAAACTCCAGAGCTCCAGTGCCTTTCTGCAAAGTCTTACACTTGTGTCACAATCTCCAAATCCAAAGCCCAAGACCCAAAATCCTGAACCCGAAACCCGAATCCCGAAACCCGAGCCTAAACCTTCCGAGTGCAGTTGGTGCATGCGACAGAGACCGGCGTCAGCCTCACTGTCGCTCAGCAGAGTTCTGCCTGAACTTGACGACGCAGGCTTTAGTGGACCCTCCGAGGAGTCGGTATCACGGATCAAGATGCCAAGGAGCCTTGAAACCTGGCAGTCTTACTTCACTCCGTTACGTATTGAATCACGTACAAGATAACTCGGCCCAGATCCCATGAAACAGATCTCGGGCCCTGGATTCTTTCGATTCTGCAGGCTTTGTAGCCTCATTGTAGCCTCTTGCCGAAAGAGCCATGTCACTGATGTTGCTTCGAGGAACGGCACCCAAGGCTGGGCCAGGGGACCGGTTCCAGTTCTCAAAGCACACACTGGCTCCGGCTTTTTTCGGGCTTCATGAGCCCTGAAGTCGAGCATGCCAAGAGGCAAAGCCCTAATCCCTAAGCCTAATCATAATCCCTAAGCCCCAAGCCCTAAACCCTGAACCCCTTCTGCCCAAAACCCTTATGTTCCCTCTGATAACGCCCGTGGTGCCGAGGTGGTCGTGTCCCCGACCAAGCCGGGTGCGGCCCAGGGCCACAGTACTTGGCTGTGCTTCCCCGATGTTCGGTTTAGAGTCTAGAGTTTAGAGTTTAGGGCTTAGGGTTTGGGGTATGCTGTTCTGCATACTGACAGTGTGATTTCTGTACTTGTACCATTGTAGTTCTCCTAGCTTTCAGAGGCTTCTGGTATACAAGCCTGGAGAGGTTCGAGAAAGGCTAGACTAGACTTCTGCCACTTCAGTGTTGGGTTTCTGGCTTTAAGGCTTCAGGGCTTTTGAGGGGGGAGACCTGGGGCGCTGTTTTTTTTTGATCTGTCGTCCCCTAAACCTAAGAGGCCTCAATGCGTCTAGAGATAGGCCCTGTTCCGAAGGAGTCCCTACAGTACCATACAGATTCGGTTTAGGGTTTAGGGCTTAAGCCAAGGTAAGCCATGGGACCAACATGTCGAGTTTGACAAGAACATAGATTCTGACATCGACCGGGGATCGCAGGGATCCTTGCACAGGGAACCCCCCCTAAACCCTAAACCCCCAAACCCTGAGCAACCCTACACCCTAAACCCTGGACCCTACAACCCAAATTCCAGTCCCAAAGAGTGAGGGTGCACGCATCGCCTGGCCGCCTTCGGCTACCGGGGTTACGTCCATTATCAAGCCACGAAGCTAGACCCCAAACCCTCAACTTTCAATTCCGAACCCTGCACCCCAAACCCAAAAGCCCCAAGGCTTGAAGTGTAAACCCCAAACCCCACACCCCGAACCC